CTGGGGGGATTTTTGGGGAGATCCCTGGGGGTTTTTTGGGATCTTTTGGGGAGATCCCTGTGGGGTTCTTGGGGTCTTTTGGAGAGATCCGTGAGGTGATTTTTGGGATCTTTTGGGAGGATCTCCGAGGGTTTCTTGGGAGGGGTCCCGGGGGAAACCCTGAGAGGTTTTTTTGGGGCTCCCTGCGTGTTTCCTTGGGGGGATTTCAGGGTGAGGGTCTTTTATCCCCCCTCCCCATTTAACCCCTCCCCCCCACAGGAGATGCTTTGGCGCATTTTTGGTGGGGGGTCTGCGGGGGGAGGGGCGGCAGAACCCCCTCTGCACCCCTGCCCGCGCCGCGGCCTACCAAACCCACCTGGACCTGGTGCAGGAGCGCTGCAAGACTGTCACCTCCTTCTACCAACAGCTCGCCATCGATGCCACCTCTGAGAGGGTGAGAGACCCCTCCCCAAATCGGGGAGAGACCCCTCCTCAAATTCCTGGGGTATTTGGGTCACTTTGGGAGGAATCTGGGGTTTGGGAGCCATTTTTGGGGATACTGGGGGGATTTGGGGAGTATTTGGGACCATTGATGCAGCCACAGAGAGGGTGAGATCTCCTCCCTGAATTGGGGAGGGACCCCTCCTCAAATCAGGGAGATCCCGCCTCAAATTTCCAGGGGATTTGGGTCACTTTGGGAGGAATTTGTAGGATTTGGGAGCCATTTTTGGGGGGATTTTGGGCCATTGATGCTGCCACTGAGAGGGTGAGAGACCCCTCCCCAAATCAGGGAGAAACCCCTCCTCAAATTTCTGGGGGATTTTGGGTCACTTTGGTGGGGTTTGGGGCTATTTTTAGGGGATACTGGGAGGATTTGCAGTGTTTTTTGGGGGGGTTTCTGGGCCACCGATGCCTCCTCAAATCCCACTAAATCCGCAGAGACCCCACCCCAAATTCCCCGGAATTTTGCGTCACTTTAAGGGGGATTTGGGGCCATTTTGGGAGGAATTTCCGGGCTGATTTTGGGGCCATTTTTGGGAGGCTTCTGGGGGCATTTGTGGGGAATTCTGTGCCATTTTTGGGCTGATTTTGGGGCCATTCTGGGTGGGATTTTCAGAGGAATTTGGGGATGCTTTCCCCAAATCTGAGAAGAGCCCCAAATCTCCTTTTTTCCCCAAAATCCAGCCCTCGGTGCACCTGACCCCCACCACCATGCTGTACTCGGGGTGCTCACAGGACGGCAGCCATTTTCTGGTGAGGGGCCCCAAAATCTGTGTGTTTTTCCCAAAATTTGGATTTTTTTCTTGAAAATTTGGGGTTTTTTTCCCAAAAATTCAGGGCTTTAACCCCAAAGGTAAGGGTTTTACCCCCCAAATTGTCTTTTTTTCCCAAATTTTGTGTTTTCCTCCAAATTTGAAAGTTTTTCCCCCAAAATTTGGGGATTTTCCTCAAAATTTGGGGTTTTTTCTCCAAAGTTTGGGGTTTTTTCCCAAAATTTGTTTTTTTCCCCAAAATTTGGGTGTTTGGGAAGATTTTGAGCATGCAAATCCCAAAGATTTTGCAGTTTGGGAGGAAGTTTGAGAGAGGAATCCCCAAAAATTTGGAATCATGGGGAACTGAGTTAAAAATTGGGGTGAAACTCCAAGAATTCGGGGTCATTCTGTCCAGGAATTTCCGTGAATTCATGTGGGAGGGAAAAAACCCCCAAAATTCGGGTGGGAAAACAGAACTGGGGAAGGGGGGATTTTCCCAAAATCCTAGAAACCTTGAGGGTGGTTAAAAAATTTGGGGAATTGCCCAAAGTCAGGTTTTTCAGGGCAGAAAAGCACCCGGTACCTGCAGCAGGAGCTGCCCGTGTGCATCACCCACCACATCCAGGGCTTCTGCAACCTGCCCTTCATCATCAGCTGCAACCCCACCATCCTGCACGTGGTGAGCCCCCAAATCCCCCAAAACCTCCCCAAATCCCCAGTGGGGGTCCACAAATACCTGATGGAATCCCGAAATCCCTGTGGGAATCGGAAATTCTGGGGGGAACCTGCGAAATTTGGAGGTTTCCTGTTTGTTCAGCCCTCCTAGTCCTGCGTGGGTGGGGTCCTGAAATTCCCAGGGGGATCCCAAAATTTGAAGGAGGGGAATCCCTGAAATCCCCATGGGAATGAGAAATTCTGGGGTGAATCTGTAAAATTCCGGGGATCCCAAAATTCTGGAGAATACCAAAATTCCCTGGGGACCCCAAAATTCCAGAGAATCGTGGAATTCCAGGGGGATTCCCAAAATTCCCAGGGATGCTGAAATTCCCGGGATTTGGGTTTTCCCAGGAGCTGATGCTGTTCCCTCCCCACAGCATGAGCTCTACCTCCATGCCTTCCAGAAACTGAGTGACTTACCCCCAGTGAGTGACACCTGGGCACACCTGGGGGCACCTGGCACACCTGGGATACACCTGGGAATACCTGAGATATACCTGAGACACACCTGGGCACAGCTGGGGGTGTCACCTGTCCCACCTGTCCCACCTGCCCAGATCCAGCTGCACAGTGACGAGGTTCAGTACTGTGCGTTGCTGCAGCAGCTGCTCGAGGACCACAAGGATATGGTGACGCTGCTGGCAGAGGGGCTGCAGAAATGCTGGAGACACATCCAGGTAACCTTACCTGAAGCAGGTAACCCCACCTGAGACAGGTAAACTCACCTGGGACACATCTGAGATACACCTGATGCACACACACACCTGGGACACACCTACCCTGATGGCTGAGGTGCTGTGGGAGTGCCAGAGACACATCCAGGTAACCTCACCTGGCACAGGTAATGTCACCTGGGACACACCCAAGACACACCTGGGACACACCTGGGATACACTTGGGATACACCTGGGCCAGGTGACCTCACCTGGGTCACACCTGAGATACCATCACACACCTGGGGAAGTCCCACCTGAGCCACACCCACTCACCTGTCACTCATCTGTGTCTCACCTGCCTCACCTGTCCATATCTTATCTGTCCCACCTGTGCAGGACGAGTGCCTGCCGCGGTCGTTCCTGGATAAGACACTCACCTCGCGCCTGGGCATGCAGATGCTGGCAGTGCATCACCTGGTGCTGCACAAGGACACGGTCAGCTCACCTGGGCAGGTGGGGCAGGGACCGTATTCTCCCAGCTTTTCCTGGGATTTCCCCATTTTCCCCAATTTTTTCCCCATTTTTCCTATTTTCCCCAGTTTTTTCCCCATATTTCTCCAGTTTTTTGCCAATTCCCCCCCCCATTATTCCCCTTTTCTTTGCCATTTTTCTCCATTTTCTTTCATTTTTCTCCTTTTTGTCCCCATTTTTCCCCAACTGTTTTCACATTTTCCCCGTTTTTTCCCCATTTTTTCTCATTTTTCCCCATTTTTCCCAATTTTCTCCCCATTTCTCCCCGTACTTTTCCCCATTTTTTCTGCAATTTTTTTCCCCTTTTTCCCCCACTTTTCCCATTTCCTTGGGTTTTTTTCCCCTTTTCCCCCATTTTTTCCCTTTTATTCTCTTTTTCTCCATTTTTCCTGTTCATTTTCTGATTTTTCCCATTTTCCCCTGTTTTTTCCTCATTTGTTTTTCCCCTTTTTCCTGGTTTTCCCCCCAAATTTTCTAGCTGGATTTCATGGGCATCATCTGCACATGCCTGTCCCCCAAGAAACTCATTGAGAAGTGGGTGGACTTGGCTAGGTAAGCGCACCTGGGCACACCAGGGGGAACACAGGGCACACCTGGTGGCAGCAGGTGACTGTGGCTGCCAGGTGAGACGTCCCAGGTGTGCCCCAGGTGTTCCCCAGGCACGTCTCAGGTGTGTCTCAGGTGTCTCACCTGCGCAGGAGGCTCTGCGAGCACTAGTATGGGAATGCACCCAACAATGGTGTGACACTGAGTGACAGGGGGGTGTCAGAGGGTGCCAGGTGAGGTGCTTCAGGTGTGTTTCACCTGCCCCAGGTGCATCTCACCCGTCTCAGGTGTGTCTCAAATGTGCAGGCGGCTCTGCGAGCACCAGTACGGGAACGCGCTACATGTGCACATCAACAGGCATGTGGCTGCGCATTTCCCGTTCATCTGCCTGCCCTGGACTATGTCCTGCCTGAGCTGCTCAAGAACACCAGGAGATACCTGGAGACAGCTGTGGGCCATGCCTGGGGAGGCTGGGAGGGTCTATAGGGGTTTTGGGGGAGATTTGGGGAAATTTGGGGGTGCTTAAGAGGTACTTGGGGGAGTTGAAAGGCGTTTTGGAGAATTTAAAGGGGTTTTGGGGAAGATTTTGGGGTAGTTTAAGAGGGATTTTGGGAGATTGGGGGATTTGGAGAGAATTGAGAGGGATTTGGGGGAATTTCAAGGGAATTTGGGGGCATTTAAGAGGGACTTGGGGACAAAATGGGATTTTGGGAGTTTTGGGGGAATTTGGGGGAGTTTAAGGGGGTTGTGTGGGGGATTTGGGGGAGTTCAAGGGGGTTTTGGGGAGATTTGGGAGTTTTGTGGGGATTTGGGGCTAAATTGGGGGATTTAGGGGAAAATAGAGGGGATTTGGGGGGAATTTGCAGGAATTTGGGGTAATTTGTGGTAATCTGGGGTCAGAGCAACGATGGAGTCACACCTGGACACTCCCTACAACGTCCCTGACATTGTGGTGACCCTTGCCAACAATGACATCAACCTTGTCATGTGGTACGGGGGGCCCAATCTGTCCCCAAGATGTCCCCAAAGTGTCCCCAAGGTGTGTCCCAGGTGTCCCCAAAATGTCCCCAAAGGGTCCCTAAAATGTCTCCAAAGGGTCCCCAAAGGTTTCCCATGGTGTGCCCAGAGTGTCCCCAAAACATTCCCAAAATGTCCCCAAAATGTTTCCCAAAGTCCCTGAACGTCCCTGATGCTGTCCACATTGTCCCCATTATCCCAAATATCCCCAACGTCCCCAAAATCCCAAAGTGTCCCCGGTGTTCGGCAGGATCTTGGACCGCAGCAGGGGCATGCTGGACAAAGTGACCGAGTACCACTACAGCATGGGGTGGCCCTTCCACAGCCTCATTGAGCCCAACGGCCAGGCCGGGCCCAAGCAGAGGTCAGGGACCCCTCCCCAAAATCGGGGTGACCCCAAAAATACAGGAACAAGGGAATAACCCCTCTGAAATCAGGGGTTGCTCAAGGATGCGGTTTGGGGGGGGGTTTCAAGGGGCTTTGGAGGCTTCAGGAGGGTGTTTGAGGAGTTTTAGGGGGAATTTAGAGGGGTTTAGGGCACCCCCAGGATCCCTCCCCAAATTGGAGAGCCCCAAAAAATTGAGAACAATCCCAACCCCCCCACCAAAATCAGGGATAATCCCCCAAAATCATGGACCCTTCATGGCTGGGACTTGGGAGGAATTTTGGGAGTTTTCATGGGATTTTGGGGGTCTCTGATAGGAATTTGGAAATACTTGGGGCCACCTGATTCCCAGTGAACCCTGGTGTCCCCCCAGCATTGGTTTTGAGGTAAATTTAGGGGGTTTGGGGGGATTTGGGGTGGGGATTTGGGAAATTTGGGTGGGATTTGGGGAATTTAGGTGGGATTTGGGGAATTTAGGTGGAATTTGGGGAATTTGGATGGGATTTTTGGGATATTTGGGGACACATTTGGGAATATTTGGAGCCACCTGAGTCCCGGTGTCCCCCCCACCGTCAGTTTTGGGGTAAGTTTACAGGTTTTGGGGTTTCTGGGGTGGGTTTTTTGTGGGATTTGAATGGGATTTTTGGGATATCTGTGGGCACTTTTTGGAATTTTTGGGAACACTGGGTGCCCCCACAGGTTTGGCTTTGGGCTGCTGACATCACGCACCTATGCTGAGTACCTGGCGGGGTCCCTGGTGCTGCAGTCGCTGCAGGGCGTCGGCACTGACATCTGCCTGAGGCTGTGGCACATCGATGGCAAGGCCAAGAGCTTCTGCATCTAGGGGGGCTTGGGGGCAGCCATCGGGGGTGAGGAGAACCCCTGGGAGGTGCACAGCAGGGCAGTGCAGAGCCCCAAAAGTTGGGTTTTTGGTCACGGAAAGCCAGGAGGACCTTCCAAAGTTGGACTTTTTGGTGGAGGTTTTCCAGTTGAATCCCCAAAGCTGGAGCTTGGTCATTAAAATCATGGAGAGATTTCAAGGGCTGGGTTTTGGTCATGGAAACTGAGGAGGAGCCCAAAAGTTGGACTTTTATGGTGAGGTTTTCCAGTTGAAGCCTCAAAAGTTGGGTTTTGGTCATAAAGGTCATGGAGAATGTTCCAAAGTTGGATTTTTTTGGTGGAGGCTCTCCAGTTGAAACCTCCAAATTTGGCGTTTGGTCATCAAGGTCATGGAGAACCTTCCAGAGTTGGGTTTTGGGTCATGGAAACCAAGGAGTACATTCCAGATTGAGACTTTTTTGGTGGAGGTTTTCCAGTTAAATCCCCAAAGTTGGGTTTTGGTCATCAAAGTCATGGAGGACCTTATAAATTTGGATGTTTTTGTTGAGGCTCCCAAAAGTTGGGTTTGGTCATTAAAATCATGGAGAACCTTCCCAAGTTGGTGTTTGGTCATTGGGGTCAAGGAGGACCCCAAAAGCTGGGGTTTGGTCATGGAAACCACGGAGAACCAAAAGTGGCTGTTGGTCATCGTGAGGGCCAAGGCCACGCCCCCATTCTGGCCACTGACTGCTGACCGTTCAGGCCCTCGGCCATTGGGATGGCCCCGCCCCTTCCCCCACTGAGCAGGGCTTCATTCATGAACAAGGCCCTGCCCCCACTGAGGCTGCAGCTGTGCTGGGGTTGGGGCTTTATTGGGGGAGGGGTGAGGGGAGGAGGGGAGGGAGGAAGGCTTAGGGTGGAGGGGCGTTGGGTGGGCTGAGGATCTGGATTGGGCTTGTTTTGGCCCAAAATTCGTCGTCATCATCATCATCATGGAGGCCATCTTCATGATCTTCATGTTCATCATCATGGAGAACATCATCATGGAGAACATCATCAGCTTCATCATTGTGGAGAGCATCTTCAGCATCATCATGGAGGCCATTTTCATCACCATCACAGAAATCATCATCTTCATCATCATCATGGAGGCCCTAAGGTCCATTTTGGGCTTTTTTTGCCCCAAAATCCCTCCTCATCTTCATCATCATCATCCCTTCCATCATATTCTTCCTCAGCTCCTCCTTCAGCTCCTTCCCCCACCCTCCTCCTCCTCAGCCCCGCCCCCTAATCTTCATCACCTCCACCTTCATCCTCCTCGGGGCCTTCATCACCTCCATCTTCATCCTCGGGGCCTTCATCACCCCCACCTTCATCTTCCTCAAGGTCTTCATCACCTCCATCTTCATCATCCTCGGGGCCTTCAACCCCTCCACCTTCATCATCCTCAGGACCTTCATCCCCTTCACCTTCATTATCCTTGGGGCCTTCATCTTCCTCAGGGCCTTCATCACCTTCACCCTCGGGGCCTTCATCTCCTCCACCTTTATCATCCTCGAGACCTTCCTCCCCGTTTTGGGCCTCTCCCTCCTCCTCCTTGGTTCCTCCCCGTTTTGGGCCTCTCCCTCCTCCTCCTTGGGGCCTTCCTCCCCACTTCGGGGCTGTCCCTCCTCCTCCTCCTCCTCACACGCCCCCTGGGGCTCTGGCTGGCAGCAAGGACAGTCTGAGCGGTGTGTGGGCGCCGCGTCGCGCTGGGGGTCATAAAAATCTGCGGGAAACGGGGAAATCCCGCCCAGGAGTGACCTTGGAGTGACCACCGGGAACTGCCCCTCCACCCCCAGGCCATGGCTGGACATCAGAGCAGTCACTCATTGAACAGGGGTCATAAAAATCTGGGAAAAATGGGAAATCCCCCCCCCAAAAAACCCCAGAAATGAGTGACCACCAGGCCACAGTCAGATGTCGGAGCGGTCACTCACCGAAGGGCCCCAGCCGGGGTGGCCCCTCCAGGATGGTCAGCAGGACATGGCACATCTGGTCCCCTCTGGCCATGGCCAGAGCGCACAGCCGCCGCACCCAGCCCGAGCTGCCCGGCTGTCCAAGCGCAGCCACCTTGGTCTCGGTCACAGCTCCGGCTGCCCGCAGCCCAGCCAGCAGCGCCTCAGCCGGCACCAAGTCCAGCTGGCGCTCCAGGCCACGGCCGCCCGCTTGGACACGCTCCGGCCACGGCGGCCGAGTGGACACCAGGAGTGGACCCTGGGAACAGGGGCTGGACACTGGCAATGGACACTGGACTCTGGGAGTGGACACTGCCCCCTGGGGTGGCTCTGGACACTGCCCCAGAGGGGTCACTCCCCTATGGGGGATGGGGAGGGCTACAGGGGACCTCCCTCTCCTAACTCCTCCTCCACCTTCTATAGGGATGTGTCCCCTATAGAACCCCCTTGTCCCCTATAGAACCTCTCTTGTGCCCTGTAGAATCCCCCAATCCCCTACAGAACCCCAGCTGTGCCCTATAAAACCGCTCTATCCCCATACAATCCCTCCCGCCCCCTATAGACCTCGGTCTCGGAGTGCCGGGGGTGGATCGTGAGGGAGTTCTGGCGATGTGCTGCGCTTGACACGGCGGTGGTTGTGTTGTTTCAAATTAATGTGATTCTAAAGGGGCATTTCCTCGTTAATTGGTGTGGTTAAGGCGTTGTTACATTGTGGATTTCTCGTGATTAGCGCTCCTCTGGGGGCTGTGTGTGATTAGTGCTCTGTGATCCGGTGCCGCTCTGTTTCCGCCACACCTCGCTCCTAGTTTTAAATTTTTAATTCATTTTTCTTTTTAGTATTTCCCCGCCTTAACCCTCACAAACATTTCCATTTTAAGGCCAAACCGCAAATTTCGGCCGTTCTTTTGGGGTGTTATTACCGCTAAAACGACCGCGGATGGGGCGGGGGCCGAACAAAGCTCGGCGCCCGGATGCTCCGTGCCTGCAGCGGCAAGGAAAGTTAACCTCAGAACGCCCAGTTATAACAGAAAAACTTCAATTTTGGGTGACATTCCCATGCATTATTTTTTATTATTTCAGGCAATTTCGGCGTGTTTTAAGGGCTCTGGGATCCTCTTTTTTTTTTTTTCCCCCCCCGCCCACCATTTTGTGGTTTTGCCCCTGCGCGACCGCCACCACTTCGTGTGCGCAGCACTAGCACGGCGCCAGTGCCGCGGTGACACATCCGCATCCTCCCGTTAAATCAAATTAAATCAAAATCAGTCCGATTAAATCAAATTAAACAAATGCGCTAAAAAAAAAATTAAGCCCTATACCTTTGGTTTCGGCATTAAGAAACCCCGCGGTTTCTTCCTCGCGGGGCGGGTAAGTGGCATAATGGTGGGAAAGTTCCCTGCGCTTCGTTGAGGATTTCTGAGGGAACTTTAAGCATATTTTAATTAAGTACGGATTTTTATAAAATACAGATTTTTATAATTAAATTTGGGGGGTTTCATGCTGTTTATGTCGCTTTTCCGGGGAAATTCAATGGTAAAAGCAGGTTTTTACATCCTCTGAATCCTCCTGAGAGGAATGATGAGCTTGTCTTTACAAACAAGCTGTGGGTCAGTTGATAAGATGTAGCTATCAGTGAGAGACGACAGAAACAATGGGATGGATTCCAGTAGAAGATCAAAGAGGCACTGAAAGAACACTATGAATTCCATAAAAGTTAAGAAGGGATTATGCATTGGGGGTGGTGGGGGGAAGGTACCCCAGGTGTCAGGCGTTCCGGGAAGCCTGTACCTCTCAAGTACCTCAGCCTATGGGGAAAGAGAGAAGGGACAAGCAGCCGGGAATTAGGATAAAAAGGAGGCTGCGCCCTCCAAAAATTTGAGAGACCCCAGGGGAATGCCCCATGGCCTCTCCCTTTATTCGAATAAAGAAAAAGGACTCCTCTGTCTCCTTTTTGGACATAAACCTCTGGTGTTCGTGGATTAATTTTCCTGACATATTTTTGGGGGCTCGGTCTGGGATATTTCCACCGTCTGGGGCGGCGGGCAGCGAGCGGAGCTGAAGGCGCGCCTCACCCAGTTTCGGTGATCAGCTCCCCTTAGTAGCGGCCGGCACCGGGTGATCAATTGGGTTCCCGAGACTGTCCAGGAGACAGACGAGTGGCGGACCAGGGGTGTTCGTGAAGAGTCCACAGGGAAGGACCACTGAAAACCTCACCGGTGAGTAAGATGGGATCTTCGGGGAGCAAGCCTGGGAGGGCACCCATGGAGAGTAGCACAGGTCAAACAGAGCACCCATGGAGGGTTGCAAGGGTACAGCCGGGAAGGGGTCCTGGCAAAAGGGATGACAATCCCACAATACCCCCGGAGAGTCCCTTGGGGAGAATGCTGAGATCTTGGGACAGATTATGCATTCACCCAGAAGTCACTATGGAGATGATGGTAAAATATTGTTATTATGTATGGCCAGAGTATAAGTTGCCGAATGGACTTATATGGCCATCTTATGGAACAGACAGAATTCATTTGTGCCGAATTCTGTGGAGGTATCTAGAGGAGAATTGGAAAGGATGGATTGAAAGGGAATGTGGATTGATATGGTTTAAACAAGCAACAGGAGAAATCTATGTGTTAAAAAAAAAAGGAGAAGAGGAAAAAGGGGGGGAAGAGGAAAACGGTGAAGACTGGGATGTTTTTCAGCACCTTCCCCCGTCTTGTCCTCCGGTGTTACCAGCTGACCCAAGGCCAGATGCAGATGCCCTGTATCCTCACCTTCCAGGACAAAAGGATCAGGGAAATGCTGTTCCTACAGCTCCACCTGAAAATAACAACGGTGGGGGGGGGGGGGGGAAGCACCATATCATATCACCCCCTAGGACTAGAAGAGGAACTCAATTTAGAGCATCAGAAGCCCCCTGGACCCAAGAGACAGGGATCCATCAAATGCCACTCCGCCAAGTCCCTTTGGGAGGTCAAGGGGGAGGATTTGGGTTTGTAGTTGTACCACTTACTACCCAGGATATAAGAGGATTGAAAAAAGAATTACCACCATACTTGGATGATCCCATAGGGGTGGGGGAAAAGATAGAAGAATATTTGGGAAATGCAGATTATACCTGGAAAGATTAGGATTTTCTTTTGGGGATTTTGTTTGGGCCATCAGAGAAAAGAATGATTTTGCAAAAAGCTCGGCAGCTGTGGGAAGATGAACATCCACAGGCAGTGGGGGGGGCTGGACCTAATGTACCTACAGTGGATGATGCCATCCCACAGGTGGACCCCCAGTGGGATCCAAATAACCAGGCCAGCCTGGCTCGCCTCCGTGATTACCGTGCTTATTTGATTAGGGCAATCAAATCAGCAGCTCCTAGAACTAACAACATTGCTAAGGCTATGTCGTTAGAACAGGAGAAACATGAAAGCCCCTCTCATTGGTTAGAGAGGATTAGGGATGCCTTGCGGAAGCATGGGGGGATGGACCCTGAAGGACCAGCCTTTGACACATTGTTGAAAGTACAATTTGTTACTAAGGCTTGGCCTGACATTAGGAAAGGAGTACAAAAAGATCAAGAGTGGCAGAATAAGCCTCTAGAAGAATTGGTGAGAAAAACACAGCAAATATATGTAA